TGCATGAATTTTATGCTAACATCAGCAGTGCTTGGGCTAAATCCTTTTTATGCCTCGTCATCAGTGACAGGAACACTAGTGTTGTGCAACAGCCCCTCATTGGTTCGAAAGCTCACTAATTAATCGGGAGTAACTCATCTTCGTTGCCTGCATTCTGGGGTTGCATCCATGTGACTCTCTCCGTGGTGAAGTAGAGACATTGAAGATGACTGCGAATAAGTGAATTACGTTTGTGCCATAAACCCGTATATCGTATGGGCGAGTAGGCCTGAGGAGGGGCCTATATTTTTGTATCCTTATGTTAGAGTGGTTTTGCATTCATTTTCCAACTTCCCTCCTTCCCATTGGGAAGCAGGACTGTTGGTTAGTGAAGCTATCTGTGATGCCAACTCTTCACGCTACCATCAATAATTACATTTCAGCTTCCCGATCTCTGACCATCCCCATCGACCTCTGAACACGATGGGCACCTTAACTGTAGAGGAACCGGTGACCCAAGATGAACCAAAGAAACCAATGAAGTCTCGTCGAAATCTGGGAACATTTGGAGGGGTATTTTGCGCCATCACACTGTCGCAGTTTAGCAGTGTTATATTCCTTCGACTTGGTAATTTCCGCTTCTTACACCCTGACTTTTCTCCCTTCAAGGTTTCGTGGTTGGTCATTCTGGTCTGCTCGAGTGCATTTTGCAATTCTGCTTGGCTTACCTTATTTTGCTTCTTACCATTTTATCTGTTTGCGCGATCAGTACCAATGGGGCGATTGAAGGTGGTGGAGTCTACTGTATCCTTTTTCGCACTGACTTAACGAAATGGATTTGCTATTATTGATAGTTCGTTCCTCATTTCCTGCTGCATTTGGTTTTATGTATGCGGAGAAGAGTACACGCGATCTACTTGACTATCCACTGCACCCGTTTAACATGTTCCAGTAGCCTTGAAGGTTTACGCTGAGTTGAATGAGTCGCCACACCAATGTGTATTCACAATAGCTGGTTAGCAGGAACCTCAGACTAGCCTTGAAACGCTGAGTTGAATGAGTCGCCACACCAATGTGTATTCACAATAGCTGGTTAGCAGGAACCTCAGACAGTGCGACCAAATCAAATA